TACCTGATTCTGGTGGAAATCCAGCAATTCCTCACAATTCAAGGGTCAAGTTCCGATTCATGCATGGTAATGGGGTTTGGGTTGATCGAATACCTGCTTGGATTAAATATGCCACTGTGGATCCTGCAAGTTTTGGAGCACCATATGATGGTGTGTACTGGGACCCACCAACTTCAGAAAGGTACCAATTAATCGTGTTTGGCATACCCTATTATAGTTGTTTGCTTAATCTATTAGATGCTATTAATCCAAATTATGGCCTGTTAGATTTTCCAAGAATCATACAATTGTAGATCATCTTGATACCATCATTTAGGTCTAGACTTGTCAGAACAAGGAATCGTCTTGGTTGTTCTCTTGAATTTTCCTTCATTGAGCTATTTCTTCTATGAACATACAGGTATGAATTTAAGTTCCCACGGCCTCCCAAACCCAATGCCCCACGCATATATGAGGCTCATGTTGGAATGAGTAGCTCAGAACCCCGTGTTAATTCCTACAGAGAATTTGCTGATAATGTTTTGCCTCGAATACGAGCAAATAACTACAACACAGTGCAACTAATGGCAGTAATCGAGCATTCCTATTATGCATCGTTTGGTTATCATGTTACGAACTTTTTTGCTGTTAGCAGCAGATCTGGAAATCCTGAAGACCTCAAGTATTTAATTGATAAAGCCCATAGCTTGGGTCTACGTGTCCTGATGGATGTTGTCCACAGTCATGCAAGTAACAATGTCACTGATGGTCTCAATGGTTTTGACATTGGCCAAGGTGCTCAAGAGTCCTATTTTCACACTGGAGATCGAGGCTACCATAATTTATGGGACAGTAGACTCTTTAATTATGCTAATTGGGAAGTTCTTCGCTTCCTGTTATCCAACTTGAGATGGTGGCTTGAGGAGTTCAAATTTGATGGGTTTCGATTTGATGGAGTAACTTCCATGTTGTACCATCACCATGGAATCAACATGGCATTCACGGGAGACTATAATGAGTACTTCAGTGAGGCAACGGATGTTGATGCTGTTGTTTACTTAATGCTGGCTAATTATCTGATACATAATATCTTGCCAGATGCAACAGTGATTGCTGAAGATGTTTCTGGTATGCCTGGACTTGGTTGTCCAGTCTCTGAGGGCGGAGTTGGATTTGACTACCGCCTGGCAATGGCCATCCCTGACAAGTGGATTGATTACCTGAAAAACAAGAGTGATCTAGAGTGGTCAATGAATGAAATCTCCCGGAGCTTAACTAATAGGAGATATACTGAGAAATGTGTTGCTTATGCCGAGAGCCATGACCAGGTATGATGTCTTGAACTTTCCAGTTTGTCTTCTTCTGTAATTAGACTTATTGTAGTCAGATACTTCTAGTTATATTTGTTACCCTGCATGATATCTTTCTCATTCTTGTCCACTTTTACCTTCATGTCCTTCTCAAGAAAATGGTGTCTTCATTCTGCAGTCCATTGTAGGTGACAAGACTCTTGCCTTCATCCTGATGGATAAAGAAATGTATTCTGGCATGTCTTGTTTGACAGAGGCTCCACCTGCTGTTGATCGAGGGATTGCTCTTCATAAGGTATGATAATATGTCAGATCGCTCTCCTCAGTTCATGCTCCAACAGTAACTTCTCTTTCTTTCTCTAAATGTGCTTTTGTCTGCCCATCCCTGTGACCTTAAACTCTTTTAGGCTCAGCTCTTTGATTTTCCAAGTCAAAAACATTATATGGCTATGCTTGAGACGCTGTTTCTTGTTTTTGGCCCTGAAAACCACTGGTATAAAAATTTGTAAATTGGATCGAGCTCAATGATTAATATTATTATTTTTTCTTTGTTCTCATTATTGTAATTGTATTTTGCAGATGATACATTCTATAACTATGGCACTAGGTGGTGAGGGATACCTTAATTTTATGGGAAATGAAGTAAGCACACAATCTCATTCTGTATTCCTGGGGCTACTGAATTGTCAGACCTAGATATCTTCTTTTATAATAAACACGGATCATGTTATTAACATTTTAAATTCTTCAACAAACACAATCTTTTAGATTATGTAAGGATGAGCTGTATGTTCCTTTGACATTGCTTTAAAGTAAATGTGATTAAAGGCTTTACCAACAAGACTGCATACCCCAAATAAGATATACGAATTTGCTAACATTTTAAATACCTGGATCTTTTCTTCTCTTATCTAACACTGAATTGGAGAAACTCTTTCCTTCTCTTTTGCTTAAAAATCAGGTATTCTATTTGTGTCTAATCCTTGTGTTAATTGCTACCAATGCTTCTTATAGTTTGGGCATCCTGAGTGGATTGACTTCCCCAGAGAAGGCAATGGATGGAGTTACGAAATGTGTAGACGCCAATGGAATCTTGCGGACATGGAACACTTAAGATACAAGGTTTGAGATCTCATTTTCATCAATTTCACTACCTCTTTATTAAGGTGTCCCGAGTCTTCTAATTGTGGTTGTCCAGATATCAAAAACAAAATGTTGACCTTGATACTTGAAATGTCTAAATACATCTGGAACTTTTTTTTTTTCCGTATCTTTCTTGGACAAAAGCCACTACCGACAAACTTTTTCAAGAAGCATACGAGGTTACTAGATAACTGCATGAGATAAGAGATGAGAAATGTGATGAGCTGGATGCACATAGCGTGTCTCAGCTGATCTTATTATTGTCTCTCATTGGTTGTATGTAATCTTTTACTGTTTTCAATGTGTATTTACATCATTTTCTTTTGTGCCCCCACACTGGTTCAGTTCATGAATGCATTTGACAGAGCTATGAATTTGCTTGATGAAAAATATTCATTCCTAGCATCTACGAAGCAGATTGTGAGCAGTACAAATGAAGAAGATAAGGTACAGCTATCCTGTTTAATAGATATCTGTTTTGTGTCTTATTAAGAGGTGCATTAACCAAGTTGAATCAGGGAGATAAGAGTTCAAAGGTGTTGCAAGGATGTTTTTTTCCAAGTCTTTTATATATAACCTGTTTCATCATTTCATTCATGAAATTGATTACCTGTTACACATTACAGGTTATTGTCTTTGAGCGTGGAGATCTGGTTTTTGTGTTCAATTTTCATCCGGAGAAAACATATGATGGGTATGTGTTTCAATTAGCAGAAGAGTTGTTTTCACATGTGTAGGCTGTGGGTGTAGTTCCGTACAGAATGATTGGCAGCAGACTGCATGTATTGCGAATTTTGAAAACAGTTCCAAGATTCTGATGTAAATTATTCAGATGCTTTAACTCTGCGTTGTACTCTGTATGTACAGGTATAAGGTTGGGTGTGACCTGCCAGGGAAGTATAGAGTTGCGCTGGACAGTGATGCCTTGGAATTTGGTGGACATGGAAGAGTAAGAAAACATGTGCATGATTATTTAGAATTGACAACCAAATGGGAAAATTAGAAGTGAATACTCACTATATCATTTTTCACTCTATCTTTAAAACATTGACTTATGGTTACACGACTGATTTTTGTATCCTGTAAGTAGTGGGAAAGACTATCCTTTTTTGAAGGGTGTAGACGAGGAAAAAATTGTAAAGATAGGGAAATTGGCTCTTTGTAGGAACTAGGAACGGACTTAACACAGTATCCTCTTCATTAGTTGTTTTGATATCTTCGTGATGTTCTGTTAATTAATCTGTCAGGTGGGCCATGATGCAGACCATTTCACATCTCCTGAAGGGATACCAGGAGTACCTGAAACAAATTTCAACAATCGTCCCAACTCCTTCAAAGTACTCTCGCCAGCCCGCACATGTGTGGTGAGTTCTATCTGTGTTCCTTTCTAGTCTCATCCTGGAAAAGGGTACAAACGTAAGAACTATAGTCATACGAGTGATCTACTTGAGCTTGACTCAAGTAGTTCTTGTAGCTAACAAGTTGATACATTCTTTAGGGTTTTTGTGCTTAAAGATGAAATCTAAGAGCAGTTTTTTCTTGTTTAAATCACCCTCCTCAAAAGGTTTACTATAGAGTCGAAGAAAGCGAAGAGAGCCATGATGATAATGATGAGATGGGCGTGAATGAGATATTAGCTGCTGATGTTATAACAGAGCAAGAGGATGTTGAAGAAGCTGCCAGTCGGGCTAAGGTCGGAAAACCAAACTTGGTGGATGTTGATGGTGATGGTAGTGGACTTAGCAAGACAGTAAACTTTGAAGTTGAAGATATTGGGGATGATGCATCGGATGATTAAGAATCTTCATCCAACATCGGATTACACCTCTTAATTTTCACCTTAAGAATAACTAGGCTTATATGAGGCTTCCTCGATCATTCTGAAGAGATTTGTCTGGCTCTTCTACAGTTGTACTAGTATGCTGCTGTAAATAAGTAAGATCGCTCTAGCTACACTCGAGGCAATAAACGTGTGAAATATTCACATGTGTGTGAGTGTGTATATATATCAAATAAATCATTGTAGTAAAATCTCGTGATTGCTGCAAGCACTCATGCAATGGTTGCATGTTATCATATTTACTTTAAATCGTCTGACCCCGCTAAGGTTCTAAATCATAAATCATTGAATTAACCTGGATAAGATCTTAAATCATTGAATTATCATGTTTGCTTTAATATTCCAATGTTGTTTTAGATAAAAGAATTTTTTTAAAAAATAAGGAACCTAAAGAATTTTGTTTTTGACAATTTTATTTTTAGAACATTGATTAAATCTCACTTATGTTTCATTTGATCCATGTCACGTCACAAAATAACCTCCCTCAAGTCATTAGGGTTGGGTTTAATTAAATCAATATTTAAAATTAAAAAAACTTGGCGTGGCTATGCCAAATAAGTTAATAGGTTATTAGGCTAATCTGAGTTTAATAATTATGTTTTTGAATTCCTGACAACCTTCTTTGACGGGTCTAGCCCACCGAAGATCGACCCACGACTTTGCTCAAAAGTGCCTCTACTTTAGCCCATCTTGAAGCAACCAGACCACGAACCCAGAGCTTTTCTCCGTCCCTCGATCATCACAAAGTTCACAACCTTGGACTCTTTCCCTCGTACTTTAATTTCTGAAAAATTAGGGTTCGCGATCGAAACAAAAATGGAGAAGAACAACAGATACAGTATAATAGTCCCAACGTACAATGAGCGTCTCAACATTGCACTCATCGTTTATCTCATCTTTAAACATCTCCAGTAATTCCACTCCCCAATCTCTCTCTCTCTCTCTGATTCATTGCTTTTATTCGCGAACTGTATGCTTCGAATTTTAACCCTAGAAATGATTCAATTATTGTTTATAATGTGTTTTCATGATTGATTTAGGGATGTTGAGTTCGAAATTATCGTTGTAGATGATGGGAGTCCTGATGGTACTCAAGAAGTTGTAAAACAGTTACAGAAAGTATATGGCGAAGATCGCATTGTAAGTGTATCATAACAATAAAAAGTCTGTCCCTTTTAGACTTTTTCAATGTGGCATATTAATTCTCATTTTTGGGTTTAATTATCTCTTTGATTTTGATGATGATGCAGTTGTTAAGACCTAGAGCGAAGAAGCTTGGATTAGGTAAATAGCATTGTCTTTATGATTGATGATAGAAAGAAATGAAAATAATGGTTCTTGATGTGTGTTTATATTGTTAGGCACGGCTTACATTCATGGTTTGAAGCATGCGTCTGGGAATTTTGTTGTCATCATGGATGCTGATCTATCTCACCATGTAAGTATTACTTAGCGGCTGTTACTTTTAGGTGGGAGTTTGCTATTTAATTCTGACTAGTAACTTTTGAGTAACTGAAGCTTCCAGGTGATAGTCTATGTTTATGGGCATCTCCCGTTAGATTTTTTTTTTTTCAGGAACTTCTGCATGTTTGTGTATATCTTACTTGAAAAGCGCCGTCCTTCCGTAGAGGAATGGAATAGAAAAATTCAAACAAAAAAGATAATATTGGCCATACCTGCTTTAGCTGTTTGTTTAGATTTTTATGCATCATGGTTAGAATTGGAAGTGAGTATAGTAGCTTGTTCTGTTAACCTGATCCGCATGCTTTATATTTTGCAGCCAAAGTACTTGCCAAGCTTTATCAAGTAAGAAACCTTTTCCAACGTACACTTGTATGCTCTTGCATTAGACCTTGGGTGCTGATGTCCTGAAGTTTTCTGGCATTTCCTCCCTTGATATGCCATTAGGAAGCAGTTGGAAACTGGTGCGAGCATAGTTACTGGAACTCGGTATGTTAAAGGTGGAGGTGTACATGGGTGGAATCTGATGCGCAAGCTAACTAGTAGGGGAGCTAATGTTCTTGCTCAAACACTTCTGTGGCCTGGTGTATCTGATTTGACAGGATCTTTCAGGTATATGAATTTGTTTATGGTTTTCATTCATTCAGTGTGTGATGCTTGGTGAATTTAGAACTGAGATTTCTTCATTTTTGAAGGCTTTATAAGAAATCAGTGCTTGAAGATGTCATCAGTTCTGTGGTTAGCAAGGGATATGTCTTTCAAATGGAGATGATTGTTCGGGCGTCCAGAAAAGGCTGCCATATTGAAGAGGTAGTGTTATATTTCACATTATTGTGGTTTATCATTAAAATCAACATACACTACCTGTAATCAACACGCGTGCACATTTCAGTTTATACAATATTGTGACTGCTCTCACCAGCTTGATTGTCTTGAGTTTCGAGATACAAATTTCATGCATGCATGGGAACACATCTTGATTTATGCTTGTCTTCTTGGTTGTGGCGTGAACAACTACATAGATCAGGAGATGCCAATGCTTGCCCTGTTCCATAAATGTTTCAATGCCCTGTTCATGTAGCATGTATATTCTTGTCATTATGCAATAGTATTTGTTGAACAGTAAAATTCCAATTGAATTCTGAATAGTTAGGACATGGCTAGATAAACTCTAGATATTTCCAATAGTATTGCATATTTTCTCTGTTAACTGTTTCCCCCCTTTATACTCATCATACAATGGTTCTATTTCATGTATAGTTTTGCTGTTTGTTTTCTGTTTTGAAATTTTTAACTGCAGGCTACCCTGTATCTGAAATTGAGCAGTGATCCTCAGCCTTGGTTGATATTGGTTATGAATTTGTCACAGGTTCCAATTACCTTTGTTGATAGAGTATTTGGGAGTTCAAAGCTAGGAGGTTCTGAAATTGTTGAATATTTGAAAGGCCTTGCATATCTTCTGGTTACAACATGAGAAGCAACTCTGTTTTTATCAACACGATCGGTTTTGTAACACCTTGTGGTGCGCGCAATCGTTCTTAATTTTGCAAAGATTTGTTGGCTTGTTTCCTCGTTCAGACACCATCCTTCTTAATTTTGCAAAGATTTGTTGGCTTGTTTCCTCATACAGAAATAGGTTTCGGATTCAAAGTAGAATTGTTTTCACATTAGCTCTTGTTTTTTGGGAGTTCTTTGATTTAATATACACATATGCGAACTTTTTTGTCAATATTCAAGGGAAGAAATTGCCAGTAAACAGATTTATTGCAAGAATCTCCTTTTTGTCTTTTTTGATTTATTGGGAGTTCCTCCGTGGTTGCTAAAATCTCGACCAGCTACTGTATTTATTCCCAAAATCCATTTCATTGTTGTTGGTATTGAGGCTTACTGTGAATGTGATAGGAAAAATGAATTGCAACAACCAAACACCTAATCCTTGTCATGGTCGTGGGTATTGAGGCTCATGGCACTGTGAATGTGACGGGAAAAATGAATTGCAACAACCAAGCACCTCATGTTGTCACTATCTTATGGTACAACTTTCGGTAGATGCTTTACCCACTTTATTATTAGACAATTTGTTTCTCCTACACATCCACAAATTAATTAATCTTCTTCAAAATGGGAAAAAGTCTCTCTCTGTGATTCTCTTGGACCATTTTGAAAAGGAGAGTTAATGAAGTTTGTGATATTCGCAGGATACTATTATTTGGTTAACAAGGACTGCAATTTCTAAACAAATTCATTCCCCCAACCATGTTTCTGGAGAAAAATACAGCCAGCAGATAGTAATCATATCATAGCATGCATCAGAATTATTTACCAGAAACAAACAAACATTTCCTTGAAACAATGATACTTCATAAATAAATGAAGATCCAGTTTCCCTTACAAAGAAAACCCCCAGAGAAAATTCAAAAAATCAATAAAACCATCTTCAAAACCCAATTCTGACATTCAGATTTTCCTAACCTTGCGAGCAGCAACTTTCCTCTCACCTGCAAGCACAGATTTCTCAAAGCTGTAAACAGGCAAAGGAGGTTTCTTGTTCTCCTTATTCATGCTCCTCAACAGGTACCTTGGAGTCTCATTTCTCTCCACAAGGCAAGCATCAGATACAGATTTCCTTGCGCTCTCAAGCTTCCTTGTATACCTCCTTTTCGACGACTCAACAGTAACTCCAAGATCATAAGGAGTCTTCACATCATCTCCTGTGTCTCCTTTTTTTCTCTTCAACCTGTCATTTCTCCTAGCAGAATACTCCTCATAAAACCTCCCCCTCTCAAACAAAGGACTGGAATTTGCACTCAAACTTTTACCGACCCCACCATTAGTTGACTCCCCATTTCCAAATTCATCGCGAACCATCTTCGCAAGAGCACGCAATTCGCAGGATATTGAATGGTACTCCGGGCGGAGATCAGAATCTTCCGTGTCCAATTTTCGGTTTGGTTTCTGGGACTTGGTCAAAGAACCTGATACAACCAAAACGTTGGTGAAAAACCTTCTTTATCCAAGAAACAAAAACCATAAACAACAACAACGAATGATAAGCTCACCAGGAGGAGTTTGCAAAGTGGTGGCTTCAGATCGAAGAACACGGCGAGGACGGATCCTGATGGGGGATTTAGCAAGTGGAGGCTTGCGATCGGTTCTCATCCTTGACATTTTGAGAAAGATTTCTTCAAAGAAAACTGTGTATAAAGAAAGAAAGTTAAAGATGATGGTGTTCTTGTGATGACAGGAAATTAAAGACTGAAGAGAGATGGAGATGATTGGCCTTTTGATTTGAATTGTTTGTAGTAGAGGCTCCTCTGATTCCTTTTCTCTGTGTTTGTAGGGTTCTGTGGACTACGTGTTTGAATTCATATAGGGGAGCGGCTCAACGGTCATATTCTTGATCTGACGGTTAAGGCATGACAATGATTTCTTTCCTTAAAATGTTCGGATTTTGCATTTACTTACGTTTTTTTTGCACCAGTTGCTGTCCCAGCATTGGATCATTATTTATTTTGATGGGACTCGTCACTTGGGTTGTGGGCCCACTATTTCGATATAAAGAAACTGGGCTTCTTTATTTTATGGCCCAGACAGAGAGAAAAGGAAAAGGCTACGTCCTGGATCCATGGGCTCCCCATATTTTGGGGAGACCATGCAGTTTCTTATTCCAAGCAAGTCACCAGGCATCCCAAATTTTAACAAGGAGAGAATGAGAAAGTGAGCAGAGAGCAGAAAATAGTCCTCTTGATTTTTTATTTTTTTTGCCCACGTTGATTTGGCTTAATTTCTACTCTGATGGTTGATTTTTGGCCTTCATTTTCTCTTTTTTATGTTTGCAGATATGGTTCCCTATTTCGAACCAGCCTGGTGGGTCGGCCAGTGATTGTCTCATCAGATCCTGATTTCATCTATTTCCTTCTTCAACAAGAAGGAAAGTTGGTTGAGAGATGGCATATGGGTTCCTTTGCCAAGCTTCTTCTCATCAAGAAGCTGCACCAATCATTTCAAAACATGGCTCCATATAGCTCAGGAACTTAGTCTTGGCCTATTTTGGCCCTAGCCCCCAAAAGATAAGCTGCGGCCTAAGTTAGAAACTGCTATAAGCCAAGCATTGCAGGATTGGATTGGTCGAATCGACCGACCATCGAAGTGAAAAGTGCCAGTTCAACTGTAAATCATCGGAGCTTAATGTATTATTACGTTCTGAATTACGAAGTTCTAATTCCAGATAGATGGAGTGAAGCATCATAGGCACTGCTGTTTCGATGCCTCACTACAAGATTTGTAGTAGTAAACATAAATTTAGCAGTACCATCAATGTCTCACATCGACTTCTTGCAAGGACTCATGTCAATCACCTTGAATAGTCCTGGTACTGCAATTCCATAGATGTTTAAAAGGTAATTATTTTAGAAAACGTTAGCTCTTGTTCTTACAGGCTTCATTCGAGTCACTTGCCGTTTATGATTATGTGCAGAACCAAGAGAGGGCAATAAAACTAATAACTGGCTTGCTAGAAGAGAGACCGCGTAATCCAGAGATTCGCAAAGGAGATTTTCTTGAAAAAATCCACGTGAAGGTATTGTAACAGTATTCAAGAGCATTTGCAATTACGGCACCATGCCTTCAAGTTTACACAAAAGACATCTAGAACGTGGCTGGATGATGAAGAAACCAGACAATATGCATGGTAACATGACATCTAGATCATGACTATGGCCCAATCATGTCCTCTGGACTGGACTGCAAGGCCACCCCCCGAGCTCATTGGCTCCTGTAAAAGATTTCCCAGCTGAATGAATACTATCTGTTCAATTCGATGTTCAAAGACGACAAAAGCAGACAAGGTGTATGACCCCTCCGTATCTTCTTCACTAATATTCTTTCTTCTACAAAACTGATTCAAGAAATACAATTAGATACAATATTCAACTCGAACATCGGTCTGTTCGCAGGCTCAGGTTGTAGGTTAATCCAAGCTTTAATTTCTTTCAAACAAAAAGAAAAAAAATGAAATGATGACTACTTAGTGTAAGAAAGACTGTTTAAAGTAAAAATCAACACGAACCCATTATACATCTGGTCCATCAAAACACGTGAGCGCACGTTACAAGTCATGTCTAGCATTAGATATTAGACCTGATCTCAGAGATCGAATGTATCTTGACTACTTCAGTCCAGCTCTGAAGATAGTAGAGACCAGCTACCTTGATCCCTTCCACTCATATTGTGACACGTCAAAAGCTACATTATGAATACGTATGCGATTACGTAGCCCACCCAATCTAATCACAATAGCAATTGCTTCTTCGAAGCACACAATTTGGACACAACATGCATGCCGACATGCATGCCGATCGAGTGGTCCTACTCAAGAGAATGAGAAGCAAATAGACAGGCTAGGTTAATTAGAGAGATGGAGAAGCAAGAAAGAACTGGTGCTGGCCATCCTGCTCAAGGTCACATGAACCCAATGATGCAATTCATTATCTAACGAAGAGCTTCCCTGACAGAACTTCTGAAGGCCGATATTGGACACTCGAAAGATAAAACAATTAAATAGAACTCAACTTTTGAGTAAGAGCCCGTTAAACTTGATCCTCCACTAGTAAGTGAATTTCTTCTCTTTTTTTTATTAATTATTTTTTTATGAATAAAAAAATAATCCTTTGCACGCAATAGATGTGTTAAATAAATTAAATTAATGCACAAGAATGTGCAGTGATGGTGCACGAAAATCTGACAAGAGATAGGAAAAAAAAATAATGATACCTTATATTGTTAGTGAATGTTACTATCATGGTTGATTTTATGATTACCATTCAAGAAAATAAATTTAAAAAAATCTACAACTAATAATTTTTTTAACTAAAATTTTAAGAGATATTTTTTAATGAAACCCTTATAAAACTTTATTATTTACTAATTAACTAAATAAATTTAAAATTATAGCTATAACAAGATCTTTTTCTCTTTTTTTTTTTTCTTTTTTTCTTCCAGTGGCAACGTTGTTTGTGTCGAAGCAGCAGTAAAAGAAGTGCTGGTTCGTGCGTTGCCCGCCACGAGTTATAATTAAGGTGGACAGGCTCGATCTGATTCTGATAATAAAAGAAACACCAAAAACCAAGGGAGAAAGTGATAATTTTGGAGTAAGAAATGGAGGGCATGGTCAAGTGCTCAGCTAACTACGTCCCTTTGACTCCAATCAGCTTTCTTGAACGCTCAGCCATTGTTTACAGAGACAGAGTCTCTGTTGCCTATGGTGACATCAAGTACACGTGGAAGGAGACTCATGAGAGGTGTGTCAGACTCGCTTCTGCTCTTGCCCATCTCGGAATTTCCCCCGGTGATGTGGTAACTACTAGCTGCTCCTCTGTTTCTATCCTCGTTAATTTTTTCTCTCGTTTTAAAGCGTTTTTGTTCTGATTTGCTGACAATCTTTGGATTTGTGTCTCAAAATATTGAATTTTTTTTTAATTTTTTTCCTTTTTGAAATGGAAATTCGAGGCATGAAATTGGCTTCTGGTTGAATTTTATGTTTAATTTAATCTGAATTAATTGTTAAACTTGATAGAATTTGTCTATCTTGCCATTTGTTGTTCACCATGATTTTTGTTTGGATGTATATATATGGTCCAGAATTTGAATAAATCGCAGCTGCTTGTCAATGTCTACCACCTTACAGAATGCCAGAGATCATCATTGATAAGGGAAGAAAGGGATAATTGTTTTCTTTCAACATCTAATTCGGTGAATGCAAAATGAAGAATTTT